GAACTATGCTACAAACCATTGAAAGAATAAGTGGGCTCATTGACAAGCCAAATTGCATCAAATTATGAAATAATTCATCTTGAATCAAATTCAATAACCTTGGATGATGTCGAATGGAGGGCCCACCTAACTCTATGGCCGAGTTAATTAAGCCCAAAGCAAAAAGTGGCACATCTTCATCAAATGCTACAGTATTTGATCGAGGACCCATTCCCATATGCTCAACCACATTAAGCAGAGAGCACAAAAAGTGAAATATCTCCACCATACAAGGAACCCCATAAGGTTCTGTCATGAGATGCAAATCAAACGAAACAGCCTCCTGTCCACTTCCAGCCCCAATAGTACCATCTTCTACCATAGTGGCTGCCAGACTCAAAGAAGTATTAGATGCAAAGTTTGCAGAGGAATTTTGACCATCATATTCAGAGTTAGCATTACCATTCTCTATTTGTTTACTCCCAAAAGCATAATCGTTATCAATCCCACCAATCTGCACAAGAAACAATTTGTTTTAAGAATAGACATAAATAAAATTGTGCTGGCTGCCAGCAGTCCATGCATATGTTTCTGAACTTTCTGGTCTTTCACCCATAGATATATCAATATGGCTAATTATCAGAAACTAACTTTTAAATTCAAATAATGTTAATATATGATGGCATGTAGGCAAGGTCAGATTCATTCTACGAATAGCATCAATATCACCATCATTGATGACTTCAAGTTTAAAGCCACTGCAACCGTTTCAAGGATGCTCTATTACCTTGCCCAATAAACAAGAGCAGAAAATGAAATTGAAAAAAATATACATATCGAGGGATTTTATTCAGTTAAAAAAAAAACAAAAAGAAAACTAGTGCAAATTTAATTATGAAGAAGCTCTTCATTCAAATTTCTGAGAATGCCAAGCCAGGATGTAGAACAATATTTCTACCTCTACTTTGTTTCTTACATAGATATTAAGAGAAATAATCAAGACAAAAACAGTTGATGTTGCAACCAAAAAGAAGCTGAAGAGGAAAGGAAGATCAGCTATACCTCTTGTTTGACAGTAGTAGTTCTATTAACCAATGCGCATTCTGTATTGTCGATATCAGCGAGGTGCAGAAAAATACACCTAACAAGTTCATGCATTGTATGGCGAGCTAGACGCTGCAACAACTCACCTTTACTCCCTGCTTGATGGACTATACGGAAGCAAGTGTTCACAATGGTGCAGACATGCTGATTACTTAGCATAGCTGACGCTTTACTTTTCATACAAGCCAGTAGAACCTGAAGTATCTTCATCAGCACAACTTCTTCTGATGCAGGATCTGTCACCTCAAATCGGCAGCTAGTCACAGCATCAACTACCAGATGCATAGCAGCTTCCACATTAACAGTATTTTGATCAATCACATCAAGAGTTAAAATCTTGTAAACGGATGAAAGAGCAACACCAGTAATTGGTGCACCAGTTTCATCTGATCGAATCACATCTAGAAATGGCTGGAGGTACAAGGCTGGATTTATGGCATGCCACTGATGTTGCCATGAGAAAATTTGCTTCCGTAACACCTTCAGAGACTGAATCAACGAGTGTTCTAGCTGATCATCACCTGACATGTAACGTCCTCCCCACCTTACATTTCTCCTCATCACTGCCAATACAGCACCAACTTCTGTATTGATCATGCATGCTAAAGTAGCTCTGTTAGAATTAGTATCATCAAAGTCCTCAGGCTCTTCCTCAATTGCCTTGATTCCAGATTGCAACTTCAGACGCCCCATCTTGTATAATGTTCTATGAATCAAGCCTAAGGTCTTTATGTAGTTACAAACTGTCACCCCCTGGGGTAAGAGAGACCTGGCTGAAACATAACCTTAACAGTGGGAAAAAGACATAATCAACAGCAATTTGAATATAGAAACAGCTAATTGAGTCTCAACAGAAAACATTAGTAAATAAGAACAACTACATTACGAGCAACCTGAGACACTGCCTCTAATTCATACAGAAACAGGATAGGCAACTAAAGATGGAAGTGTAACGCAGCAAATACATGTCTGAGTGATGATGCCTATCCACAAGCATATTCATACTAATGCAAGCACATTACTAAGAGAAACCTTTTCTCTCTCCTTTGAGATCTGTATCCCATGTCAGACCCTAGGTCAAAAAATGTGCTCTTTCCAAGAAATGACAGGTCACTTATCTGAAGTCATCTTTATTTTCCAACTTCTTTTCAAGGATCTTTCTTCTCCCAATAATGACTGTACTTAACATTCAGAACTTAGTAAACAATGCTTAAGCCAATAAGATTCGTTGAGTACAACAAGAAACATGTCAGAAATGCAAAGGAGTGAAACTGCGAAAGATCCCAACACCATCTTGCAAATGCCAAGAAGGCCAAGTAGCAAAAAACAGTCATCCATTATCAGGACACTACGAGACCCTACCAACAATAACACTGCCCTCTAAGCCACTTGTTACCTTCCAACTCGGAACTTTTCCATTACTTAGAAGTTCCGCAACTACCATTTTCTCTATTGCCCCCTCCCCAAAAGCTACATGTTTCTGTTAAGACCCTAAAAGACTTGGATGCAGATGGTAAAAAGACTACTGAGGGAGGTGGCAAGGCACTCCAGGTTTATTATCAGGAAAAAAAAAAAGAGAGAAAAATATCTGCTGAGCTGAGCTGGCATACCAGGTTTGGGTATTTAAAAAAGGAATGATTCTTTATTTCAAAAAAATAAAAATAAAAGGATCGATTCTATTATTGTGGCTGGTAGAGTTTTACAACTTTACTATTAGGATTCTTACTGTTATGCTATGTTAGATTTTTCTGTATTTCCGTACTAGAGTGAGAATTTAAGAGGATGTAGCCATGTAATGGGAATACCACAATTTGCCTGCAACCTTTTTTCTGGATTAATCAGCAGACTCCAGAATCCTTCTAAATTCTCTCTTCTTACCTTCTCTCTTCTCCTCTCTCATTCTAACCCTAAAAATCTCTTTTCTCTCTTCTCTACTCATCGCTAAACCTTCTATCTCTCTTTCACTATCTCAAACAAGTCCACAGCGGAGTACATGTCTGCAGCTCCTAAAACCCTGGTACTAGAGCCTCCCGATTCTGAGGACACCTTGACATCTAGAGCTGAAAGGCTGCCATGATGGGCATCAACAAATCCAACTATTGGAAGACTTCTTCGAGGATTTGATCAGAAATTGAAGGACTTCATGGAAAAAGTTTATAACACTATGCAGCAGAATGCTGATGAGCTCAAAGAATCACAAAAACAGAACCAGGTGAGGCTGGAAGCATGTTTTGAAGCTTAGTGGAAATGGTGTGCACCATGCTATAACCCCTTGAAACACCAGCCCAGGTATCTTCTTCCCCTTTACTTAGTCAGCCTCACAAGGGTATTGTACCCACTCCAAGGACAAGGGAGCAGGGAGGACTGGTAATGGTCCAGAGTCCAGTCAGAGTCACTCAAACAGAGCATTTCTAAGGATACAAGTACCCATCTTTGATGGTGTAAACCTGCAGTAATGGATTAGGAGGTGCCTGGATTATTTCAGGTGCATGGGGTTGCGGAAGAGCAGAAAGTTAAGCTACTGACTCTGTTTTTGGGTGAAATGGCTGATGTCTGGTATCAAGGGTGGCAAGCTCAGAATCAGCCTCAATGTCAGAAAGAGTTTGTTTAAGAACTTAGTAGAAGGTATGGAAAAGCAATCTATATTGATGTTCTGGAAGAGTTTTACAAACTCACTCAAGAGGGGATTGTTTTAGAATACCAAGCACGATTTGAAGAGCTATGCTCATTGGTATCGAGGAAGACCCCAACCCTTAGTGAAAAATACTTCATTTTCCAGTTTATAAACAGATTGGATGAACTTAAACAATTGATCAAACTCCTTAAACATAGAAATTTAAACCAAGCTTTCAAACTGGCCTTAGTTCAAGAACAAGCTGCAGAAGTAAGGTCCCAATGCAAGAAAATTTATCCAAAAATATCCACTAGCTATCCTTCAAAATCAACCATAAACCCAATCCACAACCCCATAACTCAACCAAAACAAGCTCATCATATACCTACCTGCATCAGACGCAGCCACCAAAAGCCAAACATACCAGAAAACTGGGCCCTACCATCACCAAAAAGCCAACCTGAATGACCACAAAGATCCTTTCCCGCTTCAAATGTGAGAAGAGATTCTTCCCAGGCGACCAATGTAAAACACAGGCCTGTCTTGGCCTTTGAGGGGTGTAAGGAGGAGCAAAAGGAAGAGGGAGTGGAGACAGAAAAGGCAGAAGACACAGGACCCATATCTTTGCAGGCTATTCAAGGGGTGGTTGCGGGTGGTAAGAAAACAAGGGATGCTGCAGAAGAAGCAAAATGTCATATTACTAGATAGCACCAGCACACATTCCTTCTTGGATCAAGTGTGGCTAAACACCAAATGAACAAAATGGTAAATCAGAAGATTCTTACTGTTGTTGTGACCAATAGACAAAAGGTCACTAGTGAAGGTGAATGTGCCAGGAGTTTACTGGAAAATGCAGAGCTATATATTCAGTTACAACTTGAGAATCTTACAGCTTCATTGTTATGATATGATACTTGAAGTAGGCAGGATGAGAGAGTTCAGCCTCATTATCTTTGATTTTACACTGCCTTGTATATCATTTACTATGGATGGGAGAGAGATTAAAATGATGGGTCAGGCCAAGAGTAACAAACTAAGAAGGGTAAGTTGCAACGGGCTGAACAAAATGATAAGGAAGAAATGGAAGTCAAATGTAGCTGCAATTTTTTGTGTTGGGAGATAACAGTCTGGAAGAAGGAGAAAATGTTGAGAATTCAGAAGCCAACAGCCTACAGAGGTAGCAAAACGTGGGGTTAACTGACCTGCTGAACAGTTTTCTAATGTGTTCACACAGCCACAGGGTCCTACCACCAGCGAGAGACCTTAATCATCCCATGCCTGCTGATATCCACATTTCCAAAAGAAGGAGATTGAATGACAAGTCAAGCAAATGATGGATATTTCAATCATCCGCACCAGTCGTAACCCCTTTGCATCCCTAGTTCTTTGGTAAAGAAGAATGATAGGACTTGGCGATTCTGTGTGGATTATAAGGAACTGAATACAATTACAATTAAAGACAAGTTTCCAACCCTGATAATCGATGATTTGTTAGATGAGTTGAATGGGGCTACTATCTTTTCCAAGATCGAGTTGAGAGTAGTTCACCACCAAATATGAGTGAAGGCGGAGGATGTTCACAAGATGGCCTTCTGAACATACCAAAGCCATTATGTATTCAAGGTCATACCTCTTGGCTTGATCAATACTCACGCACCTTGCAGGCTATAACGAACCATTTGTTTTGGAATTATTTAAGGCAGTTCGTGTTGATTTTTTTTTTAAAATCACATACTAGTATATAGTAAGTCAATGGAGGATCATCAATACCTTGAAATTGTTGTGAAGACATTGAGAGAAAATCAGCTTTTTGCCAAGCATTCAAAGTGTAAATTTCGCATGGGAGAGGTGGACTGTTTGGGTCATATTATATCCGGCCAAGAGATGAGGATAGACTCTTAGAAGACAGAGACAATTGCTTTATGGCCACAGCCCAAGACACTTAAGGCCTTGAGGGGATTCCTCAGGTTTACAGTATTTACTATAAGTTCGAGTGAAATTATGGGTCCATTTGCGGACCCTTTACTGACATGCTAAAAAATAACAGGTTCCAGTGGTCTGATGTGGGGGAGGAGGCTTTCGACCACCTCAAGCTAACAACCACAGCCCCGGTGTTTAGACTTCTTGATTTTAACCAATCCTTTGTGTCGGAGGCAGCTGCAAGTGGAAAGGATTGGAAGTAATTCTGATGCATGAAGGCAGACCTATTGCCTTTGTCAACAAGCGCCTTATGCCTAACATAATTTGTCCCCTCCCCATCTATGAGAAGGAGCTTTGGCCATAATCTATGTCATCTCAAAATGGAGGCACTATCTCGAAGGAGCTCCATTATCATCAAGATAGATTTTTTTAAAAAACGCACAAGAGATTTCCCAGACAATGAGTAATTACATGGTACAATGATAATGGGGTTGTTACGTTGTTGGGCTTGATTACACAATCCAGTCCAAGAAAGGTGTAGAAATTAAGGTGGTCGATGCATTGTCATGCATAAACTGCCAAAGCAGGAGCTGGACAAAGCGGACAGCAGCCAGGAGGCGGCAGAATTAAAGGCAGTAGCCACACAGGTTACTCCTGCTTGGTTGACTGAAATGATGACTAGTTACAAGATAGAAAAGGGGGCTGCCCGGTTAGTAGAGGAATTGATGATAGCACCAGTTTCCATCCTCCTCATCGACTTAAGCAGGGAATTTTAAGATATAATGGAAGAACCTACATCGAAGAACAAGCTGATCTTAGACAGAAAATACTTTAAGAATGCCACAGCTCAGCCGTGGGAGGTCACTCCAGGGTTAGAGGCACCTATGAGAAAGTTAAGCAGCATTTCTACTAGCCTAATAACAAACAAGGGGTAGCCGAATTGATTAAAGAATGTGAAGTACACCAAAACTGAAAATCTAAAAGGGTGGCAACTCCAGGATTTCCAACAGCCCCTGCCCATACCTCACCAAGCCTGGACTCATGCCTCTATGAACTTCATAAAGCAGCTAACCAGATCAGGAAATAAAGATACCATGCTGGTGGTAGTGGATCAATTCACAAAATATGGGCATTTCATTGCCCTTAGACACCCCCTCTCCGCATATCCAATAGCCAAAGCATACACTGATAAGGTTCACAAGCTGCATGGGACACCCAAGATTCTTGTCACCAATAGAGACAATATATTCACAAGTTTGTTTTGACAAGAATTACGAGGATTAGGGGCACTACACTCCCTTTGAGCTCCGCTTACCATCTCCAGAAAGATGGTCAAATGGAGAGGCTGAATCAATGTCTAGGATCCTATCCCTGTTGCATGTCTTTTTGAAACCGCAGCAGTGGGCAAAATGATTAAGTTTGGCAGAATGGTGGTATAACACCAGTCATCATTCTAGTTTGGGAACAACCCCCTTTTCAGGCTCTCTAGGGTATGACACCTCCCCATTTCATGGACACCACAGAATTGACACTCCCTCATCCCAACTGCACGCAAACTGAAATTACCTGACCATGCTAGAATACAACCTATGTTCCATGTTTCTCTTTTGAAAAAATATATTCCCTAAAGCAATGTTCAATGTGATGAATTGTCTGCACTGGACATAATGGAACTTCCAAATTTTGCAAAAGAGAACAATCCAGAAAGGAGAACAGAAAACAGAGCAAGGTCTGATGCAGTGGGCTAACTGGGAACCCGAAGAGACTACCTGGAAAGACATCAATTTTCTAAATAAGCAATTTCCATAAATTTTTCCTCGAGGACAAGGAAGTTTCCAAGGGAGAGTTGTTAAGACTCTAAAAGACTTGGATCAAAATGGCAAAAAGACCACTGAAGAAGGTGGCAGGAACTCCAGGTTTATTATCGGAAAAAAAAGAAGAAAAAGTATATGCTGAGCTAAGTTTGCATACCAAGTTTGGGTATTCAGAAATGGAATAATTCTGTTATCGTGGCTGGTAGTTTTACAGCTGTAGGTAGTACTATTAGGATTTCCTTTCTGCTTGCTAGAGTTTTCTGCATTTCCATACTAGAGTGAGAATTTAAGAGAAAGTAGTCATGTAATGAGTATACTGTAATTTGCCTACATCTTTTTCCTGAATTAATCAGCAGACTCCAGAATATTTCTAAATGCTCTCTTCTCACCTTCTCTCTTCTTCTCCTCTCTCATTCTAACACTAAAAATCTCTCTTTTCTCTTATCTCTAGTCCTCTCTAGAACCTTCTCTCTCTTTCACTATGTCACACAAGTCCACAGCAGAGTACATATATGAAGCTGCTAATAGTTTCCCAATTCACCAGTGCTGATACAGTTGTAAATTTAGAAACTAAAAGATCTTTGGAGTTCCAAAGAGACCAATAACAAGGTTCGAGCACTAGGGTGGAAACAAGTGTAATTTCATTTGAACATCCCTGGACAACAGTCAATGAGTACTAGAATCCAGAACCACAAGGCCATCAGTTTAACTTCATAGTAATCTCATGCTATGAGAGACTCAAAATCATCATATGGGAATGGAGTATTAAGTCAACAAGAGTACACTTAACAGTTTCGCAGGACATAGTTCTACATTATCATTTCATGCTACATTTCATTTAACTGTAATGCTAGCTGCAACGCAAAAAGATTAATAGTATTAAGTCCATGAATTGAACACAGGATGAGTACTACGACCCCATCGTAAACACAAGATCGGAGCACATTTAACATACAAACTAAATCAGATTTAACCAATCATTTTATTGCTACGGAAACATAAGAAGAAAAAAACTGACTAAAACATTGGATATACGGATATCATTAGCCGATACCAAGGGGAGCAAACTTGTAAACAAGCACTAAACCCTGTGCAGCTCTTGACTTTGTTCAGGTCAACTTTTTGAGAATCAGAGGAAATAATACAAAAATCACAAGAATCAAGTTGTTTTTTCTTCCATATTTTCTTTCCATAAATTTCCCGGAAAAAATACGGACTTGCAATGTCTATAACAAAATCTAGGAGACACGAATTTGAAAAAGAGAATGATAAAGTAGCGCATTAAACGTAGAGAACGAAATTGATAAGAGAGAAGTGTGGGGATGGGATCGTGAGAAATGCATTACTCACCTTTGAGGATCCAGATTGGAAGATCTATTCAGAATTTCTTCACATGAGAGAGAGAGAGAGAAAGAGAGAGGAGAGAGAGAGAGAGAGAGAGCCTGAGCGAGGAAAGCAAAAGGGAGTCGCGAGACGGAGGCAGAGGAAAGAAATTAAACGCAGAAGAGAATTTACAAAAGAACCCCTACAAAATTGTGTATTTTAATCGCAATTCACAAATACGCGGCAAAAAAAGGTTTTTGCTATTTCCAGAAAGGCATTTTATTTTTATATATTACAGATCTACCCCAGTAAACTAATAATGTTTAAACGTTGGTCCCTGCAGAGCGCAGGCCACATCACATGAAACGTTGATTGGACTTGCGCATGTCTAGTGAATTGGACCCTTTCGTTTAACCATGTAATTATTGATCGGTTCAAGTTCAAATAGAAAAATTGAAAATGCAAATTCCTGATTGTTATAAGCATTACCAAAATTATTTCTAAAAAAATAAGAATAATAACTGTATGGATAATTTTTGGTTATTTGATTTTTTAGATGATAAATAAAATATTGTACTAAATTAACTTTTTTTTTTCTCACAGTAGAGTTGGTTAGATTAGTCAAAAGATTATTATTGATTCAAAAAAGTAAGGTGTCAATATCTTTTCATGGTAAGAAGAGATAGAAAAAATGCTTTGAGATAATATTCGAGTATAAATGCATCAACGCTGAAGTAACTCATGCTATATTCTCAAAAAAAACTGAAACCACCTTCAACAAATGGTATCTCTACCCAAAACCGACACAAGTGGGTAGATAAAGAATATCCAAATACATAAGACAAGTTTTTTAAAAAAAAAACTCGATAAAATAGTATCGTAACTTTGGAAGAATGGGTGCTTCCTCACAAAAGGGATCGCAATGACCAAGACCAAACGACTATTTACCAAAAACACAAGTCTTTATAAAGTCATAATGTAACAACCAAAATTTTTATTTTATTTTTATTTTTATTTTATTTTAATTTTTATTGAAATTTTGTTTAATTTTATTCTATTTTAATATTTAATTTATAAAGTTTTAATTTAATTTAATTTAATAGAAATAAAAATAATAATAATAATAAAATAAGGTAAAATTATTTTTGAGATTTAATTAAAATTGATTTTGAGAAAAATAGGTGAAATTTTGGATTCTGGGGGTATTTTTAAAAAGAAAATCAAAAACTGGGGGTCAAAACGTAATTTAAAAAAATAGTGCCACATCAGCAGCCCGATCAGCAGCACTGACAAACCAGGACACGCCGCGTGGCAGGGACGCTAACGCGGGAAGCCACGCGGGACGGAGACACATGGGCGATCTGCGTGCGCGCGATCGGACGGCCCATATCCGTTCCCGCGCGCACGGACGGCCCAGATCCGTTCTCGCGCGCACGGACGGCCCAAATCAAAGGCGCGCATGGATGGCCCAGATCTCACGCGTGCGGACGGTGCAGATTTGATCACGCACGGACGGTCCAGATCGCATCGCGATGGACAGCCCAGATTTATTTCTAATTTAATCGCGATCGAACGGCCCATATTAAATCATGATGGACGGCTCAGATTAAAAAGGGAGGGTTACAAATAATCACATCCACACCCAACCCCAAACCCTAGCAGCCAGAACCCTCGCCGGAGAAGACGACCCAACCACCGGAGGAACCGGCTGCCGCCACCCGCCGCCGCACCGGAGGACTTTTCGGCTGCCAAACGAGGTAAAATTTTCCCCTTGGCTTGTTTTTCGATGTCGAACCTCTCTGTGGCCAAATCGTAGCCAAACCACCAGCTGATTGGCCGGAAAACACCGTTGAAGTCCAGCGGCGCCGCCGCGGATTTCTCAGTTTTTACCTCCGATGATGCGCTTTCCGTTTCTCGTTCGATGTAAGTTTTATACCACTGTGACCACCGTCCTTTTCTCTACAGGTTGATCAGAGCAAAACACGAAATTACAACTCACGCCGAAGGAGCCGCCGTACCCGAGAGCTTCGCCGCCGGTAAGTCTCAGTTTTCTAGAATTTTTTGGCCCACCGAGGGCCCTCGGGATGTTTTATCACAGGAACCAATGCAAGTTTGGCCGAATTCGGCCGAAAATGGCCAACCCGAGGTGGATTGCCGCCGTGGGTGGTGGCGCCATCGCTGGAGCACGGCGGAGCCGCCGTGCCAGAATTTTAAAATTGGCCGAAAGGGCCCCGGGTCTAATTTAGAATTTTTTGGGGACATGTGTAGGTACTGGAAGTGTGTTTCAGTTTTCAGAAAAAAATTCAGGGAATCTAGGGGCTGCCCGTAGGCGCAGTGAGAACCCAATTTCAGACTTCGAAACAAGTAAGAATCACTCACCATATTTCCTATTATGGCATTAAAGCTTAATAAATAATAAAATGGTATGTTATGAATTAATATATATGTATAATTAATTAAGGTTGTTAATGGAGCCTGAATCTGATGTGTTTTTCGGTCAGTTGTTGTTTGATTTATTTTACAGTTTTAAATACAGTATGGTGCCTGATGTGTTTATTCTATGATTTCGTATGCATGAATGACAGTTTCATTTATTATGGTTTGACTTATTGTGATGTTGAGTTGGTTTGTTTGGTATCCATTTTTGGTTTACGTGTTTATGTTTGATTGGATAATTGAGACTAAGAAAAATAGAAAAAAGTATGTGAATTGATAAATAGATAACGTCGACAGCCTAACTAGATATCCTGGGAGATGGTGGACGGATTGGATCCATAGGGAACCCTACCGGGAACATGGTCTCTCATATCAGACGGGATATGGAGACTTTATGTGTTTTGGAGCCCATACCGGACAGGGTATGGGGACAACCCGTTTCACCTTCATACCGGACGGAGTATTGAGGTTTATGATTTTGGTGCCCAGACGAGGTATGGGGACGGCCCTAGAATTAAGTTATTAATGTGAATGGTTCACGTGTAGCGGGGACCCCCTATGGATCCCCATGGATACTAATAGGCTAATAAAAGAGGAAAATTGTTGTCTGATGATTAAAATACAAAAACATGATATGTGTTATCTTGCAAAGTGTGCGTGATCTTATGATATTTATGATGTAATTGTTTTCATAATCTCACCGAGGTAGGTGGACAGTAAAGGGTTTTATTATTGATAAATGAGTTTGTTATAAATTATGCTCCATTGATCGTTTTCGTTTTCTACCAACCTTTATTTCTGTGACAGTGAGATAGTATGATGTCTTTGCTAGGCTAGTGTAGCTCATTCCTTACTTAACCATTTCAGATCATAAGGATTTGGTTGTCGAGCCTGTTCTGCAGGAATACGGCGAGTAGAAGCCAAAGAATTTACTAGTTTTTCTTACAGCATTCATTCATAGTATTTCCTTTAAGTTAGTTTATTCTTTCATACTTTAATTCGTTTTGGTTATTGTGTAAGGGATGTTAATCATAATCTATTTTATTTCGCTTCCGCACTTAGAATAAATATATATATATACATTTCCTTTTAATTTCTAGGGCCGTTACAGTTGGTATCAGAGCCGCGTTCCTCGAACCCGTCCTTTACACAATAATATTTAGAGGAATACCAAACTGAGAATTATTACTCAACCCTTCCTTGTGAAATACAGGTGCAGAGAGATGAGGAGAGGGAGACCCCCACTAAACCGAGCAGCCCGGGATGATTCGTTTCGGGAGGATGTTGACATAATATTTGAGATGCTCGAAAGGATCATGGCTGCTCAACAAGGTCGAGAGGAGAGAAGGGAATGACCCGACCCTCCCCCACTACCACAGTTTGAGCCACCGCTACAGTAGGCGAATCCCGAGTCACCCCGGCAAGAGCCTGCTCCTCCACAGTACCACTTGGTACCACCGCCGCAGTATAATCCAGTGCCTCAGCCACAGTATTGCCCAGCACCACCACAGTATGATCCAGTGCCCCCAATATATCAGCAGGTGCCACCACAGGGCCCCCCAGTCTATCCTCAACCCGGCCCAGTCCTTCTTCCACGAGACCCAGCTCCTTCCTTGATTGACCTGGGCTACGTAGAGAGGTACAGGAGACTAAACCCTTCCACTTTTGCAGGGGAGTCCTCTTTCGAAGATGTCCAGTACTGGTTGGCAGAGACAGAGAAGGCTTTCGAGACCTTAGGAGTGGTTCCTGAGCAAAGGGTTACTCTTGCTTCCTACATGCTGGTGGGGGAAGCAGATCATTGGTGGGAGCTCAAGCAGACCACCCTGCCCATGCCTGTCACTTGGGAACAGTTCTTAGCAGCCTTTCATGTTGTGTACCTCCCCAAGCACATCCGATATTTAAAGGAGACGGAGTTTGTTTAGCTGGTCCAGGGAAACATGACAGTGTCGGAATACACTCGTAAGTTCCTAGAGTTGGGCCGATACTCTCCTGAAACATTAATGGATGAGGGCAGAAAGGCCAGGAGGTTCCAGTGGGGCCTCCACCCAGAGATCAAGCGGCACTTGTTGGTACTAAAGCTCAAGACATATTTAGTTGTTCTAGCAAAGGCGCAGATCGTGGAGATGAGTTTCAACACCCTTTCCCAGTCATCAGGGAGTCACAGACCCTCAGATCCACCCCGCAGACCAGCACCTACTGCGCTTGTCCAACAAAATAAGAGGCACAGACCGGCGATCCAGGCTCCCCCTCAGGCTCCAGGGGCAGCACGTGACAAGATCTGTCAGCATTGCGGCAGAGATCACGGGGACCGACCATGCTATCGCCTCAATAACACTTGTCGCATATGTGGTAGTGCCCAGTACTATGCGAGAGAGTGCCCGAGGAACCAGAACCAATGAAGACCTCTTTTTCAGGGCAGGGTTTACAACCTCACCCAGCAGGATGCCGACACCGACTTGGACGTGGTACATGATATGTACACTATATGTGACCATATTGCTCATGTTTTATTTGACACTGGTGCATCGTATTCATTTGTTTCACATATTTTTGCATCCAAACTTAATGTATCACCTGATAAACTTTATTCAATGTTGTTTGTGTCTACTGCTGGGGGTGAAACACTATTAGAGGAAGTTATCTATAGGGCTTATGCCGTGAAGATAGCAAAAAAGAAACAGAGTGTAGACCTAATAGGGTTAG